CGTGAATTGGTAATCAGTAAATTACAGGCAACCAATTCGCGATATATTCCACATAAAGTTGATCGATGTTACAAAACCATTCGTGGACCTTATTGACTACCATAACCATTACCATTAAAGTTCTCAAACCATAAGTTAAAAGGTTCTAATATAGTTCTCTTTCCGAAAATGTATGGAGAAAACAAGAATTTGGAACGGTAATGGTTCTTAACAACCCATTATTTGTAAGGTCCAGTTCCAAAAAACCATAATACACACGCAGAAAAAAATATTTTAATCGTAATAATATTTGACGTAAAATCAATAAGAATTTCATTTTGTTTTGGCTGCAAAAAGAAATCATTATTGTTTCAACAATCCAGTATTTTTGTTCCTCAAAACCCATGGATTGTTAAATCAAAAAGAAAATCTTTTCGAATTAACAAGAGCTTTCATGGTTTTGACGTAAGCTGTCAAATTTGGCAGCTGGGTCATCAACAAAAATATGTTTGTTTTTAAAAGAGATTTCTTGTTGATTCAATCATATTTATTTTATGAAGTCTGACAATTCACGCAGTAGAAATAAAAATATGTTTATTGATTCAAAAATCCGGAGTGATTTGAGATTTGGGCGTAATTACTTTTGAAAACAAACAGGTCAATCACTGATTTCTCTTGAATAAAAGCTCAATCTCACAAACAAACTATACCAAATAATAGAGGAATCATTCCTCTACCTCATAGTGTTATTACTTTTCGGGATTGAGCTTTTATTCGCGAGAAATCGGTGATTGACGTATTTGTTTACAAATGCAATTACGCCCAAATCTCAAATCACTCCGGAAATAATATGGCAAATTTTTTTATGTTTTGTTTTCTTTTTCACTGATCATCCTTCGGAAGGAAAGTAAAGCCGTTGGTCCCCAGTTAATTAGTTGATGGGTCGATATGTAGGGTCCAGGTGAGGAAGCTGCCTTCCTGGCGTCAGGAGCATTGGTACTCAGTACGGAAAACAAGATCGACGGAAAAAAAAATCAAGGAAAAAAATTGATTATATTTAGCAACTGCAGCTCAAACTGCAGCATACTTACTTACCTCAAGTCTCAAGATTTTCGGAAATTTTGCACTTATTTCCCGAAATTCACAAGTTTTGTTATTGTTTACATTTTTTCCGGGTGAAACGAGGGAATGGTTGGTAGTTATTTTTGCATTCATGGCCCGGGGAACGGACACAGCAAATAAATGCTAAATTAAAATGAACTATTGTTGGATTAATAAAAGAATATTGTTATTTTTACAATAGTTGCAGTTGAAAAGTGGCTTATTAAAACAAAAAGAATCCTATTTTGAATTTATATGAATGAGTATTATTGAAACAACAAAATGCAACATAATTTCAACCGGAATTGTTTGTTTAAATACAACTAAAGTTTTGTTTGGTTCAATGCAAACAATTTTCTGTCCGTGATAAGGTTGAAACTTTATCATTAAACGTTCATGTAAAGTTCCGTAACCATTTCAGTTAAAGTTTAGCAGGGATTATAAACAATTTTTAACCATTTTAGGTAAGGTCAATTTATGGTTCGCGTTTATGCGGGAATCGCACCAATACGAACCCGCCTGGAGAGGACTATAGACCTTTTTGACGTTTAATCGTCTTTCTCTATCCAGCACACAGGAATAAATGGATGATTTGTTTTCCCACTAATTTGTTTCTCGCTCACACTGCTTCAGTTTAAATGGTGCATTATAGTGTGCGCCAATAGTCCTCTCCAGGTGGGTTCGTATTGGTGCGATTTGCGTGTGTTAGTGAGATGAAATTTTTTGTTTGCTGTAAGAACTGTCTTTCTAAAGTAAAAATAAACAACAAAACAAAAACAAACCCTACGCTTGCACGGTAACAGTCAAGTACCCTTTTGTGAGTAAAGGCTAACCTATTTTTGATAAAAATGGCTTTACTCATTAATGACTAAATTATTTTAATAACAATGAGTTTCTGCTAACAGTAGCTAACAGTTACTACTTAATTGGCATAATGAATTAATGATTAATTAGTGGTGCCGCTTTTATTGACAATGGGTTCACTTTTACTCATAAATGGATGTTTGATTCTTACCGTGCACATGACAGTATACGCTAGTGTGTGTAAAATTATGTTATTAGTGTAGTGTTCGTGAGCTCCTGCTTGGAGAACTCAATTAAGGTTCAATTTACTTTGATGCATTTTCGAAAAATTCAAAAGCAGTTTTTTTCGACGCATTCTTTCAGATTGCTAAAAGCTCGCGTCATTTTGTGTAGAATAGCAAAAGGAATCGAATAGTGCGAGCATTTTGCAATCTGGACTAATGCGTCGAAAAAAACTGCTCTTGAATTTTTTCGAAAAAGCATCAAAGTAAATTGAACCTTAAACGTTAAAAAGCTCTATTAGCACGGAAAACAAATCATAGAAAAAAAAAACAGAAATCAGTACACTGATAAATTTAACTATTCCCATTTTGCTTGAAATTTAATTAATTTGACATTAAACTCAGTTTAATCATATCGAATGATTAAAAATTAATCATCTCTTTCTAAAAAATTAGATTAGATTAGATTGTAGATTATCTTTTTTTGAATAAATTTTAATCATTTTTTTATATTATTTTAATAATTTTTTATTGAATTTTAATCTTTTTTGATTATATATTAGTAGTTAAAAATAATAAAATGTAATACTAGAAAGATTATTTCGATTTTAATCATGCATGACTACTGCCGAAGTAATCATGGCTCGGACTAAATAAGGTGAAGCGGGAATCTGCATACTTTTTAAGCTTTTTTGATTTAATTTATCTTTGAGTGTATGAAGCAAGCAAGCGAGACACCGGACATTGAATGTGATTTTTTTTATAAAACTTAACTATGAAAATAGTATACATCACCTACCCTCTAGTATGTCCATCGTTGCGCTGTCCAGCTTGGACCGGAGTTCTTTTATTTTCCTGTTGTACTTTGCTGAAATATATACAAATAGCGTGCGTAAACAAGGCAGGATACAGCAAAGTTTGAAGTTTTTTTACCCATTAATGAGTATAAAAATACACATTTTTTGACTGGTAATACATTCTTAAAATGTGTATTTTTTAACACATTTTAAGATCAAATTTACACATTTTTTGACAGCTGCATATAAATATAAAAAATGTGTATTATTTTACTCATTTATGTGTTTACGCTGGTTACCGTGTATGCAAAACCGACGCAGATGTCGCCACTGCATTATGATGATAATGTTGACAGACTGCATATAAAATTCGTGAAAATTTGCATTAAATCATAATTTTCATCAAGCCTGCGTGAAATCCTTCCAATATAACATTCGAATTGAAGAAGAAAATGTTTTTACGATCAGACTGATGTGCATCTTTGACTTTTCCAGATGAACTTTCATAAGATATATTCATTTCATTTCACGGCTCCATCAATGCTGCATCGTACGTATGATGTAAACAGAAGTAAATTGCTCAATTACTCAAAATAAAGATGATTTGTCATCTTGTTAACACTTTATAAACCATCGAGCACCATTTTATAGTATGATGCGTGTTGAGTAAATCAAGTTCCATTGCGTTTTCCGTCGAAAATTGTGAGTATCAATATGTTTACCTAAAAAAGGCCAAAATGAACATTTATTGAAAATTGGCGTCCTATACAACCATTTCTACATTATCACCAGCATGATACAATCTTTTTAAATTCACTTAATTTCCACTTTCATCCTAGTGGAAATCGCACAAATTCACCATTTTCCGAAAAATGCAGCTGCGCAGGAGGTAACCTCTACCTGTGGGTGCAAACTTGTTATGCATAATTTTCCATGAAAACATCTCCGATCCATACTGAAACAATAACAGTTTGTTTGCAAACACGTTTTCTTACACGATTCAAGTAAAATTTTCCACTGGAAATTATTAGTTTTTTATTTATGTACCGATTTGCCCCCAAAATCGTCTGTTTTACTTGGAGAATTTGGAAACTATCCTCCTTCTAGTAGTTCTCACTTCGAAATGTAGGTGGCGAAAGCTTGGAAAAGTTTCACTGCAAGACGCCAATGTCCAGATTAGTAATGCAAGTCCGGTAGACTACCTACATGTGAAAGTCTAAAGGTCATATTCAAAGGATTCCCTGAACAAATTTAGAGAACGTATTGTCACGTATTGTATTCCGTTAGGTAATGTTGGCATTTATTGCAAAACTGATGTTTTGGATGCATTTAAACAACATAAACACTAATAAGTGTTGATTTTACAATTTGACGACATCTCCCTATAATCTCAAAATTTAGCAGACTATAGCTGTCAAATTTTCTTTTGGGAAAAATCCTCAAAAATTACTTTTCCGTTTTCTTTTCAGCTGCGTACCAGGCTTTAAGCCTGGTACGCAGCTGAAAAGAAAACGGAAAAGTAATTTTGAGGAATATTCCCAAAAGTAAATTTGACAGCTATAGGAAGGTGTCTTTTGCTAAATTTTGAGTTCATAGGTAGGTGTCGTCTAATTTTAAAATCAACAATTATAAATTTTTATGTTGTTAAAATGCATCCAAAACATCATTTTTACAACAAAAGTTAAAATTACCTAACGGAATAATTGGTCAGACCATTATTCCGCAAGGAAAATGAAATTGCATTCCGAATGCGCCACCTTCATATCGATCACGATACTAATGTAATCGATCTTTCCTTTACCGATTTCTTTTGAACTGCGTACTGGGTCAAGAAATGCTAAGGAAAAGAAATTTCTTTAGCATTCCGTGTCCTATCCCGTAGCACGTAAAAACGTCACTACTTTTCAGCTGCGTACCAGGCTTTATGCGAGTCGATTGAAATCAGCTTAATATTAAATAAGGGTTAAGTTGATCCTTAACATAGAAGCGTAGATGCGTAGGTGAAGGATGAGAAAAATGAGAGGCAAAGGTGTTGAAATGCAGAATTACTATTTTCAGACTGAAGCTTTATTTTTTTTTGTTTCTTTTTTTCTTGTAGGAACGCGATAGTAATTCTCTTCTTCCCGACTATGATGAAGCAGTAGCTCAAAGCTTGAAACAGGCACCACCTCCATCGTATGTAGTTGCGATGTCTATGAATAATAAGGATAAGGCGCAAATTGATGCAACACCTGCTAAAGCTGTAACTATAAATTCCAATGAGAATGTAAGCTTCTCTGATCCGCCTCCGTACAATGCTGTTGACGATGACGTACAACATAATGTAGCAACGCCTGTTGACAACGCTGTGTCGGTAATCGTTGTCGAATCTGCTTCTAGTGCTACTTAAAACTCGCTACATTCAATAGAGTCAAATAGAACTTGAATACTATTATAAGCATTATACATATGATTCGGATCAGATAACCCGTCATACACATTGATAAGCACAGTACATCTAGCAATATTATGTGTTTTTGTAAACCTGATTTTTAAATTTCTATCTTTTATATTGTTATTCTCAAAATTATTTACTGATAAATGTCAATACAAATTTAATATAATCCTGAGAACAATCCTTCAATCCAGAACTACCACGTTAACCATGGCACAAAACATAGGTACCTCGTTTTTGTGTGTGTGTGTGTGTGTGTGTGTGTGTGTGTGTGTGTGTGTGTGTGTGTGTGTGTGTGTGTCTGTGTGTGTGTGTTTGTGTGTGTGTGTGTGTGTGTGTGTGTGTATGTGTGTGTGTGTGTGTGTGTGTGTGTGTGTGTGTGTGTGTGTGTGTATGTGTGTGTATGTGTGTGTGTTTGTGTGTGTGTGTGTGTGTGTGTGTGTGTGTGTGTGTGTGTGTGTGTGTGTGTGTATGTGTGTGTGTGTGTATGTGTGTGTGTGTGTGAGTGTGTGTGTGTGTGAGTACTAAACGTTGAGTATTGGAATATTGCCGTAAAAGCTCAATGTTGATGTCGCCACTGCATGATGATGATAATGTTGACAGACTGCATATAAAATTCGTGAAGATTAGCATTAAATCCTAATCTTCATCAAGCCTGCGTAAAATCCTTTCAATATAACATTCAAAGTTCAGAAGAAAACGTTTTCACGATCAGACTGATGTGCATCTTTGACTTTTCCAGATGAACTTTCATAAGATATATTCATTTCATTTCACGGCTCCATCAATGCTGCATCGTACGTATGATGTAAACAGAAGTAAATTGCTCAATTACTCAAAATAAAGATGATTTGTCATCTTGTTAACACTTTATAAACCATCGAGCACCATTTTATAGCATGATGCGTGTTGAGTAAATCAAGTTCCATTGCGTTTTCCGTCGAAAATTGTGAGTATCAATATGTTTACCTAAAAAAGGCCAAAATGAACATTTATTGAAAATTGGCGTCCTATACAACCATTTCTACATTATCACCAGCATGATACAATCTTTCCTAAGTAAATTCACTTAATTTCCACTTTCATCCTAGTGGAAATCGCACAAATTCACCATTTTCCGAAAAATGCAGCTGCGCAGGAGGTAACCTCTACCTGTGGGTGTTAACTTGTTGTACCTAATTTTCCATGAAAACATCTCCGATCCATACCGAAATAATAACAGTTAGTTTGCAAACACGTTTTCTTACACGATTCAAGCAAAAGTTTCCACCGGAAATTATTAGTTTTTTATTTATGTACCGATTTGCCCCCAAAATCGTCTGTTTTACTTGGAGAATTTGGAAACTATCCTCCTTCTAGTAGTTCTCACTTCGAAATGTAGGTGGCGAAAGCTTGGAAAAGTTTCACTGCAAGACGCCAATAATCACCAGAAGTTTGCGTTGCTGCTCAGATGGACATCGCGTTAAAAAGCGGAATGGCAGAAATTAGGTAAAATGTGAATTATCTTCTTGAAAAATTATTTAGTGAGAAATTGAACGATATGACAAGTTCATTTTTTTTTTAAATTAATGCGGAAATCAATTAGCTGCTACGAATGATCAACGCACTGTATCTACACACTAAGATTTTTTTACAGTTTACTGTAATTTTTACCGAATATGGAACAGCAGAACGTTCGGTAATAGGTTCGGTAATTTTTTGTTGTTTTACCGTACATTCAGTAAATTTATCTTTCCGCTTGAACTGTCAAAATTTACCGAAATCCGCATTGTAAATTTTGCTGAATAATTGGTAATGTTTACAATACCGTTCCGTAACGTAATGTTAACGTTACCGAACGTTTTGTTTTTTACAGTTTTTTGTGTTTTTGATAATAAAATATTTCGAATGATTCATTTTACTCAGAAAAATAATTTATTTTCAATTGAATTCAGCTGAGAACCCGCCCTAATAAATGGTTAATTTGCTTAACGACGTGTTCTGGGTATCATCCAAACCATTTGTGGAATAGATTTGGGTTATCGTTCGTTTATGGCTATTTTTTATTAGGGCGGACAAAGTTATCGACGGTAAACTTGGTCTGATGCAAACATGCGCACAATTTGGTTTTTTCTTTCAGCTGAGGAGGACATTATGTTGCTTATGCAGTTAGCATCAATAACTGGAAGCGGTTCGCCTAAATGAGAATTAGTAGTGAAATAATGTTCCGTTCAGTGTAGATTATACGGAATATGTTAAAAAAAGTTAAGTACTTACTATTCACGCCGGAGAACTGGACAACGCTCAACCTAAATGGCCGCATTGTTGGATGATGACAGCTCGGTTGACAGTAAAGAATTTGCAAACTTTTTACAGTTTTGCAGCATTGAAGGCATTTACAGTTTCGATCAGCAATTTTTATTTACAGTTTTCGGTAAACTTCTGTAAATTACAGAAATTCATTATTTTTCATTACGGAAAGATGGTAAAACAACACATTCTACAAAACATTCGGTAAAACATAAATTTTACAGAACGAATGCAGCAAAAAAAAAGTACCGAACAAAATTTAAGAAATTTGGTGTGTAGGACGATTCAGTACGTCAATCGAACCAAAATACCATACGCAAAAACCGTAAAATACAGAATAGTTATAATTATGATGATGTTTGTCATAAAATCCGAGTTTGGGGGATGTTGTAAAAAGATCTAGTCGTGCTAGTAATCAGAAAATCAGTAACATTAACAAACCAAATAATCGTAAGACTCGTCCGATAATTGGGTTCTTTAATTTTGAAAAATGTATCGTTTTTTATACATCAAGAGCAAATTTTCATTACGTCGAATGTAACAAAGGTAAACAAAGTCGAGCTATCAGTGTCAATCGATTCTCCTGCTATTACACTATATACTGTCCAAATATAGGATCAAATCCCATGTTTAAATTTATTTACCAGTCAAATTGCTTTTTGACGTAATCACCTTCCGATCAAAATAGTTTTCGATGTTACTTTAGTCACCCAATTTCTATGGAGATGCCGTTTGACTTAAGTAACAGCGCTGAGAAACCCGTGAAAAGTGTACGTTCGTCGTTTCGCTTTCTCATTATTAAAGTGAATAAATCGAACTGTTTGTTGCTAAGATGATTTCGGTGGTCCTAATGAATGGGCTGCACGTAAGGAGACGTAATTGATAATTCTCCCGAATATCCTGGTAAATCACTAGCTTGCACAGGGTGGGGCAAAGTGGGGTAAATGCCCCACCTTTTATAAATAAGATTTTTATTTCCACATTTACAAAATTATGATATAAAATAACTTGATTTCTTGATAACTTGATTTGAAAGTTAGGTTAGGTTATCTTTATTAGCGCGACTTTCAGCCAGAGGCTGGTTCATCTCTTCTTGATTGGAAGGTAAAATAACTTCATTTCATAATATAAGGGCACTGAAAACCTTTTATTGCGTCAATTCCTTTGATATGGTGCCTGGAAACTGCACCACAAAGATGCATGAAGGGTCAAACTTTAATGAAATGTTTTGGTTAAAAACTTCCACCACAATGGCATACAAAAAATTTCTGGAGTCATTTTTTTTTCAAAGTGGTTCATGGAGGGTAAATTTAAGGTTGATAAAATCCACTTCGTGGTGGTAAATCGATGAAAATGATTTTTATTGAATATTTCTGGTGTAAAAATATCATCAAGGTGCATGGAGGAAATAATCAAAATGAATAACTCTGGTGGAAAAATTGAATCACGCCAAAAATTTTGAGGTGGAAATTTAACTGAAAATTTCTGGTGGAAAATTCGCAACACTGTGGTTAATGTAGAAGCAAGGTTTATTCATTTTTCTGGTGCATAATTTGCATCGTTCCGATGAATGCAAGCATCATTGAAAATTTATGGTGGAAAATTTGCACCATTCTGGTGCATGAAAAGGCAAAGCCTGAAAATTGCACCACAAAGGTGCATGTTGAAACAAACTTCACTGACAATTTTTGGTGCACCGTTGTGGTGAATGAAGGAGCATGCTTTTTTGAAAAATTTGTTGCAAAATTTGCATTGCTCTGATAAATAAAATGAACAGAAAATTTCTGGTGGAAAACTTGCACCGGTCTGGTAAATGAAGGCACAAGCTTTATTTAAAAATAAGCTATATTGAAAATTTCTGGTGGAAAATCTGCACCGTTCTGGTGAACGGATGGGAAACCTTTTCTTAAAATTTTTGGTATTTAATTAGCCACGAATTTTAATAATAATTTCGGGTGTAAAATTTGCACCATTCTGATGATTGGAGGAAAGCTGCTTTGCTGAAAATTTATGATGAAAAATCTGAAAATAGAGGCAAGCTTTATTTGGCGGAAAACCTGCAACATTCTCATGATAGGAGAAGCAATCTATATTGAAAATATCTTGTGGAAAATGGAAAAATGGATTGGAGAAGCAATTTTTGTTTTAATGTTCAATGGTAGAAAATTTGCATCGTTCTGGTCAATTGAAATTTTTTGGTGTAAAATTACCTGGGGCAAGTTTGTATTGAAAATTTCTGGTGTAAGATTTGCAACAATCTGCTGCATGGAGGGGCAAGCTGCGTTCAAAATTTCTGATGTAAAAATTCCACAGTTCTGGTGAATGGAGGGACAAGCTTTATTGCTTGTTTTTCTGGTAGAAAACTACAACGTTTGGTGAATGGACGGACAACTTAAACTTAACTTCCGAAAAGAGCCTCAAGAGTATTGAGTTCTGGGGACAGTTCCAAAAGAACATATTTCATAAAATTCGGCGAATTATTTCTAGTGAATCCTGCAGATAGTTCCAAGATAATTTCGAAAAGAATACCGAATTAATCAAATTTTGAATGAAATTCCAAAGGGATGTTGAGGAAAATTTCAAGGGAATTCCGAGGATAATTTCAAGTTTATTATGGGAAGAATTTCTGGAGAATACATAGGAAATTCTTCTGAAACTTTAGGGGAATTTCAGTTCCAAGGTGTTCTGAGAAAAAAAAGTTCAAAAATATTCCGAGAAGAACCTCAAGGATATTGAATTTTCAGGACAGTTCCAAAATATTTCTGGGGAAACAAAATTGGTAAGAAATGTTCATTAAAATCGATTTAATACAGATGAAAAAATTTCAAAACTATATAAATGCCAGATTTG